GAAAAAGAAAAAGATCTATATATAATATGTATAATATGTTCATGAAGGGTGTTGATAGGGCAGATCAGTACTTGTCTTATTCTCTCTTGAGAAAAACAGTGAAGCGGCCAAAGAAAGTTGCATTTTGGCTTATAAATTGTGCACTTTTCAATTCTTTTCGAATCTATCAAAAACTAAACCCTACATAAAAAATGAGATACAAAGAATTTCTGCTACAAGTGGCAAAAGACTGGGCTACAGATAAGGTGGAGACAAACTCAGACACAGACGCAGCACACCCAGGAATATTAACCCAAACCCCTCGTATGCCTCATGAGGACCCCCTGGGAGACTTTCGGGTGATATGTACAAACATGTGCTGGAGAAAATTGTTGGAAGTGAATGGGGTAAAAGAAAATATCCTGCTAGGAGGTGCCATGTTTATGCTGCCCACAAAAAAAGAAGTGAAACTCGGTACATCTGCAAGTTCTGCTTAGTGCCACGCCACAAGGGGGAGTATTTCCAGAGGTATCACACCCTCAAGCACTACTAGGGTCTTTGGTGAGTATTTCCTGAAAATTTCAGGTCACAAAAATAGTTAGCGAATTTGTTATACATTTTGAAAGAAGCACAGTATAAAAGTTGATTTCAGTGGTTTAAACCTCAGGAACATGCATTTAAACAATTTAAATGTCTCGTCCTCAATGTGTTAAGAGTGCACGCTCTATCCCCTGAGCCACCCAGGCAGCAGTTCAGCTCAAGGTGCTGAGTTCAGTCTTTAGTTGTGGGTGGGTGTAGCCCCCCAATTGAACAGGCAATCTTGTTGTTAGGAGCATGTGCTCTCACCAGCTGAGCCATCCTGCCACCTGTTGGCAGCTCAGTGGCAACTCAGCTCAGGCTCAGCTCACTGGCCCATGTGGGAATCGAACCGGCCACCCTGTTGCTCAGAGCTTGCACTCTTAAGCAAGCTCTTAACCATCTGAGCCACTTGGCCGGCCCTGTATTAGTTTCTTGTGGCTTCTATAACAAATTACCACAAACTGACTGGCTTAAACTAACATAAATTTATTCTCTCATAGTTCTGAAAGCCAGGGGTCCAAAATGAGTAGCACTCGGCTACTATCGAGGTGCTCTGCTTCCTGCAGAGACTCAAAGGGAGAACCCATTCCTTGTGTTTTCTAACTGGTTTCTGGTGGCTGCTGGCGTTGCTAGGCTTGTGGCGCCATCACTCCAGCTTTCCAGGTCGACACCATCAAATCTTTCTCTGCTGCCTTCCCATGGCCTTCTCTGTGTATCTGTCAAAACTCCTGCCTCCTTCTCATAAGGATACCTGTGCTTGCATTTAGTGCCCACCCAGATAATCCAGGATAATCTCCTCATCTCAAAAGCTCTAATTTGGGCCGGCCGAGTGGCACATTGGTTAAGAGCTGGCTTGGGACGCCACAGGGCCCCGGTTCGGATCCCACATATGAGGGCCAGTGACACTGCCCTCCACAGCTAAGATGCTGAACAACAGCTCAACCTGGAGCTGGGCTGCCGTGAGTCGCCGGCAACGGCATAGGCTGCAGCCCCTGTGGCAATGGGTTGCCATGGGCTACCGTGTGTAGCCAGCAGCCACAGTGAGCGGGCGTCCAGAAGCCGGAGACTGATCTGCCTCGCTCAGGAAAAGCGCAATGATGGTGCCAACTTGGGCCAGTGAAGCAACAGAAAGGACAGCAACTTGTTTGTTCCCCTCCCCCGATTCCCCAAAGCTGTTCCCCTCCCACAATTCCCCATTTAAAAATAAATAAATAAATAAAGCTCTAACTTAATCACATCTGCAAAGACCCTTTTTCCACATAAGGTAACATTTCCAGGTTCCAGGGATTAGGACCTGATAACTTTGGGGGCCATTATCATTCTATCACAGTAATTACTTTTTTAAAAAAAGATTTTATTGGGGAATTGGGGAAGGGGAACAGCCAAGTTGTTGTCCTTCAATCTTAGTTGTCCAGTCACCATCCGGCTGCCCGTTGGCAGCTCGCGGCCGCTCAGCTGAAGGTGCCGTGTTCAATCTTAGTTGCGGGTGGGCACAGTCCACCATCCCATGCGGGAGTCGAACCGGAAACCTTGTTGCTAAGAACACATGCTCTAACCACTGAGCCATCTGGCTGCCCATCAGCGGCTCAGAGCAGCTCAGTGGCAGCTCAGCTCAGGTGCAGCTCACTGGCCTATGTGGGAATTGAACCGGTGACCCTGTTGCTCAGAGCTTGCACTCTTAACCAACTGAGCCACTTGGCCGGCCCCCATAGTAATTACTTTTTTAAAAAGTAATCGCTAAGAGTCTTTTCAATGCACCAATAGCACTGATGTACATCATATTATATAAGATAGTATTAGCTAATATAATTACAATTTCCTTTTTAAGTAAGTTTAAAAGTGAATCATTCTAAAGAAAAATATTTGGTAAATGATAGTACAGGTGGTTTGTGGACATAACAGAAGTTGAGAGGTAACATAAAAATGCCTGAATTTGGCAAAGATTTTCAAATCATACTGCCTGGAGCCCTGGGACTTCTGGGGAGCCCTTAGTAAAAGCGAAGCATCTTTGGCTAAAGTTCCACTTCTTCTTCTTCTTTTTTTTTTTTAAGAAACTTTATTGGGGGTAACAGTGTGTTTTTCCAAGACCCATCAGTTCCAAGTCAAGTAGTTGTCTTCAATCTAGTTGTGGAGGGCGCAGATCCTTGGCCCATGTGGGAATCGAACCGGCAACCTTGGTGTTATAAGCCTGCGTTCTAACCACCTGAGCTATCCCACCACCCCTGCAGTTCCACTTCTTTACAGACGGGGCTTCAAGATGCTTGAACAGTGTTTTATGATTAAAAACAAAGTTTGAAAACCACACAGCTAAGAACTTAGAAGAAAGAAAAGCTAATGGGGATGTTGATTCCTTAAAAGTTGAAACAGAATGGTAAGGGATGATGAGCAGTTTGGCCCTAAAAGGGTTAAATTCAGCTCTGCTTCCAAAAGGAAGGTAAGAGGAGGTCAGGGGTTGGCTGTGGGCAGAATCCAAAAGAAGCTCCTGCAGTGATCCTGATGTGGACAAAGTCATCCTGGGCCCCAGGCTTAAAAGGTTCCCCAGGAACTCTGGGGACCTTGAAAGCAACCAGCATAGGTTTGGCAAAAAAGAGCAGGATCCAAGGGCTGGGCCTGGCCCTTGAGGGGGAACCCCCTTGAGGGGAACCAGGCAGGACCTGAAGATGGGAACAGAGCCAGGTGCACCTAAGCCAAGGCCAAGTAAACTGTAAAACTACCCACGTGGTTCCAAGTAGGCAGCAGAAGGGGCAAAGTTTGCACTCTGGCAGCCTGCTGTGTCATAAAAACGGCTTTGTGATGGGTGAGCAAACCTGGGACAGTCCAGTGGGTGTAGAAGTGGGGGGCACAACAGATGAGAGGGGAGACCCAGAATCCCTGGCCCACACACTCGTCCTTG